GGCTTAAGGTTAGAGCAATATATTATGTTGCATCAAACAGAGCTAAGGTGTTAATATTTCGACTCAAATTGTATAAACCACTTTGTGTTATTATTTTAAACAATTCTTCCCATTTCACACAAAAATGAAAATTCTATAATTATTTACTCATCTTAATGCCATTCTAAACCTGTATGATTTTCTTACTTCTGCGGATTATAAAAGAAGATATTTTGAGAAATGTCTCTGTGTGTGTATTTTTTCTGTCTATACATTGGAAGTCAATGGTTTTTGGTTTCAAACATTTTTTGGTTACCAACATTCTTCAAAATATCTTATTTTGTTATCCACAGAATAAAGCAAGTCTTACAGGTTTGGAATAGCATGAGGATGAGTAAATAATCATATAATTTTTATTTTTGGGTGAACCCTTTAGGGCAGGGGTGGGCAACACTTTCCTTCAGAGGTTAGCTCCAACCCTAATCAAACACACCTGAAAAACAATAATTCTTATCATTAACAATGACTCTTAAAAGAACAAGAACAAGTTATTTGAGTGAACAAATCCTTTATTACAACAAACTTGAAACCATTTTAATAAAAGTATTGAAGTCTCCCTTCTGAGAAAAAAAAAAAACTGTACACCTTATGTATATCTATATCACACTTTAACATTTTAATTAATCTTCAAAATATCTTATTTTGTTATCCACAGAATAAAGCAAGTCTTACAGGTTTGGAATAGCATGAGGATGAGTAAATAATCATATAATTTTTATTTTTGGGTGAACCCTTTAGGGCAGGGGTGGGCAACACTTTCCTTCAGAGGTTAGCTCCAACCCTAATCAAACACACCTGAATCAGCTAATCATTGTCTTCAAGACTACTAGAAGGCCACAGGCAGGTGAGTCATATCAGTGTTGGATCAAATCTCTGCAGGAAAGTGGCCTGGAAGGGCCAAGTTTGCCCATCACTGCTTTAGGGCATTAAAAAGTTTACACAAAGCCATTAGTGCTGTCAGTACACTAGCAATAATTGCTGGTCACTAAATCTGACAGATGTATATCAATATTTATCCAAAGGCAGATCTAATTGAACTGCCCAGTTTAGTTTTACACTGTTTCTATCTTTTTTTTTATTAAAACGTAATGCAAGAAGAATGCAGATAAATAGATCATTGTGTTTTAAGAGGAAAAAAGAAATGGAAACCAATCTATCTAACGATCTATCGAAGTCATGCACATGAGAATTAGTGCTGCACAAAATTGCTGTACTTCAGATTAAAGCAACTGGAGCAAGTAAAGGTCACTCGTTAATTGTTCTGGTGCGGCCTGTATTAATGTCTGATTTTTGAACAAATGCACACTTTGGTTTCACTTTATGAATGATGGTATATATGTTTTATATTTGCTACTTTTGACTGAATCCTGAGCCTCTGAAATAGCAAGGGCAACTTAAACCTCTGTCGTTGTCGTTGACAGGTTTCACTATATTTGTGAGGACATTTTCGAAAAATTGGCCCTCACAACTGTAGCTATACCTGTAAGTCTGCGTGAACTCCTAATCTGATCACAGATTTCTGGTTTCCTCTGTGTGCCAACTTAAGTGACCAATATAGAAGCACCTCCTTACATTCCATTAACCTGTTAAACAGGGACATAATCCTCCCAAAATCCAGCCCAAGACACGTAACCTAGCCTATACTAAGCACACTACCTGCATCCTGATTGATTACCTTGATTGATACTTGATAACCTACTTCACGCTCAGCCTACACTGTAGCCTAGTCATCATATACAGGGTCTCAGAAATGTATATGAAAAACAGTATAATGGACCAAAACCTGAAACACTGGTCTGTACACACAAGCTCAAATGCATTTTCACCTGTAAATTAATGATGGTAATAACATATCTTAACCCTGCCTCTGTAACTGACACTACTGTTGTGGAAGTATAACTATTCATTGAGAATATAGCCCTCAGCCATGATGTGCATACTATAGGAAGGAGTAGAAATTGTTTCTTAAAATAATTATTGGAAAAAAAAACAGTCCTTCAGAGGTAGGGTTGTAACGGTATGAGATTTTCACGGTATGATAATCATCTCAGAAAATATCACGGTTTCACAGTTATCACGGTATATATTAAACAATAATTCTTATCAGTAACAATGACTCTTAAAAGAACAAGAACAAGTTATTTGAGTGAACAAATCCTTTATTACAACAAACTTGAAACCATTTTAATAAAAGTATTGAAGTCTCCCTTCTGAGAAAAAAAAAAAACTGTACACCTTATGTATATCTATATCACACTTTAACATTTTAATTAATGTTTTAAAATGTTATCAAATGAAAATTTACAACTCCTTTTATTTTTGGCAAAGTTAAAACATGGACAAACATGATATTCCTTGAAAACAATGTTTAAATAAATTATTTTCTTATAAAGAATATTATTATTGTTGTTATTATAACTTTGAAGTACATTGTACAATGCTAATATATTTCTGTCATAATTTCAAGTTAAATCGATCTTTTATTTTGACGGGTTATAGCGGACCTTTGAGTTTCCGAGTGTATTTGACAATGGTTTTTCTCAAATAAAACTAGGAAATGTTTATTTAGGTTTTCTCTCAGAGCAGCTCTGCTGATGTTCATGTTTATGTATCATATAGATGTTGAAAACCCCATTTATGTATGCGCACTTCAGTATGCATAAAACGGCGCCACTCAGATACATGCAGAAACAAGCAGATTATTCATATAGCAGTCTCTTTGCACTTTAATATTCACAGACACATATCATAACTACTTTTGACTTATTCATCCATCCGATTGTGCGTTTTATGTGACATCCTCTTTATACTGTAAATTCCAAGTTCAGGACTGCACCGGGATTCCCTCTGCTTCACGGAAATCATACGGCCTTAACCCTCTACCGCATGGTGTGGCCATATGGCAACATACTCTTTGTGTTCATTTCCTTGCCACTGTCTCTTTAAAGGGGTCATCGGATGCTCATCTGATCTCAAGTTGATATGATTCTTTAGGGTCTTAATTAAAAGTCTATAACATACTTTGGTTCAAATTAATCAATGTTAGTGTAAAAAACACCTTTTTAAACCTGTGAAAATCAGCTCTGTTTTAATCAAGCCATTATAGTCCATGTTGCTTTAAATGTTAATGAGCTCTGCTGGCCCCGCCCCTCTCTTCCGAGCTGCTCTCAGAGAGACTGTTTACTTTAGCCGCATTCATCGTGAAACTTGCTAATGAGCGCATTATTAGGATCACGAATGATTCGAGCGAACATAGATGCATTTAGGCTGATCGGGAGTGGTGCATTCACTTCAAAGCGAAAGTAACGTTAATCCTCTGCGTCTTCAGCAGCTCAGATGTCAGGAGTAAATGACAATTGCTATATTCATTATTACATCCAACAATAAAGCACCTCAATCGCTTAATCTGAGACATCTTGTCTTCCCCTGCACCAGAGTCGACACAATGGCGGACTGATGACAGCTCACTCAGGGCGGGTCTAAGGTAAGACACCGTCCAGTCTGTGCTGAAACACTACTGTCAATCAACTATCGTGGGAGGGGCCTGTACAGAACTACGTCATTCTGACAGGAATCTCAGAGCAGCCTGGTTTGAGAAAGGGGATTTTAAAATAGGGATTTAAAACACTGGATGGATTTTTATAATTAAAGGATGGATGTATACACACACTTCCAACATACATTTATGTTCAAACAACTTGAAAAAAGAATTTTGCATCCGATGACCCCTTTAAGAGAACATTCTCGGTTTTTTTGTTGGAAAGAGAAGACCTTAGTTTAGCCAATGATGTGCTTTGGTTAAGTCACATGACATGCATTTTTCTGTGGTGAGATTTCTGACAGACTGACGTCTCTTGTCAGTAGTTGCTGAAAGCAAATAGTCAGTAACAAACAAGGACCAGTCCGTGTCACTTCCACAAAAAAATCGGACACATCACTGTTATGATGACATATTCAATTCTCAAAAAAGTTTTTATGAAATTAGTTTTTGGTAAATCATTCAAATGTATGTTTTGCCAAGCGGCAACACTGTGCAATAGTGGAATGACATTATTACAATAGTTTAGCTAGCTATCTAGGTCAGCTGCAATCTGTTAAGCTGTAACAATAACAACATTAATACTATGTTGATTAGTCGTATATTAATGGAATTTGTATTACGGATATAATCAAATTGAAATGGCAATTTTACTTTTGATTAAATATGAATACAGGTAACATTACATCAGTGAGCACGGCCATATTCTATGGCAAGGTAAAGAAGAAAAGGGCAGAACTGGCTCTTCCTTCAGATGAAAAAAACAGCTTTGTGAAGTGTCATGCATAAAAAAAGGTGATCTTTCAAGGATTATGGGGGGATTGAGGGATGGGGGGCTCATGTTCATAGTCTTCCTTTCATAAGATTGCGTAATGCTGAATTTTCATGAACTGCAATGTTTTTGGTTTTATGTCAGTGTTTTATGATACATTATATACAGTATTATATTTGTTTTAACTGTATACATTTGCAATTTAAATAATATTCATGAAAAATGTAATGAAATAAAAAAATTATAAATCATTATTCAGCAAAAAAGAATGGAATAAATAAAAGCACAAGCTGTTGGAAAGTATGTATATGGTGTAAATTATAAGTACTGTGTTAAAGCTTATAATAGCACCAATTGAATCAACACAAACAACATTTCTGAGGAAAAATATTAACTATAAGTAAACTTACACTTATTCTAAGTTAGATCCACTATTGTATGCTGTTGCCGTATGGCAACATATCATAAAGTACCTTAAAATAATATATATTTTTTTTTACAGCACTTCAAGTTAAGCCATTCTTAGAAAAGAAAAAGAGTCAAAAATTTTTTTCTATACGTCTATCATAATGCGTGTGGTAGAGGGTTAACTTATAACTTGTTATTAATGTGACACACCTTCATCTGCACGGAGGGATGGTGTCCGCGAATATGAGCGAAGATGTTGGATGTATTGCCTGCTTTTGCAGCCACTTTGCGTCCACATTTTTTGCGAATTGGATCCGTCCTCAAGGACAACCCCGCATTCGTTTTTTTTTTAAATATCCGAAGTATTCCCATACTGCAGATATTAACCTTTTTTTTCCGGCGTGGATGGAGATTAGATATTATCTCTGTCTCTGTCATTTTCTCCACTGTACGTGCGTGTAAGCAGCCAAGTTAATGCAGAGTGAAGCAGCCGAGCGGAAATAAGTTGCATGTGCGCGGGTGAGATTTTTTTTCATTCACTTTTTTTAAACCGTAGATATGCAAATGTGTACGGTATGATAACTGTGCACGTTCAAACCGTCATACCGGTATATCGTTACAGCCCTATTCAGAGGTGAACTGTTATTTTTCTGGTACAGTTAGTCATAAACATGTTGGGTTTTGCATCCCTGTCAAAATTATGACATGTTTATTGTGTTATGATTGATAGTTTTCCTCCTTTACTTTGCCTCAGATCTCTATCTTTTGATCCTGCAGTTTCCGATGGGTAGGCGGACAGCCTGTGATATCTACTGGCATGGCGTCTCTTTTCATGACAATGAGAACATCGTCTCTGGGCAAGTCAACAAATTCCCAGGTAAACGTCATAAAAAAGTCAGTCTTTAAAGATCTTGTCATAGTAGAAACATCATCTTTCATAAGTTTAATAGGACACCACCATTAACAATCTTTAAAAAAAAATTAAAATGACAGTGGGATCAACCATTAAAGATCATTAAATGATTTAACTGGTACAATATTTGCATTCAGACTGGTCAATCCGGTATTACTAGACAATAACACTGGGTAACTTTATTCAAACTTTATTTTCAAATTTTTATTTTAACTACATTTTAAAATTAGAAATATAAACTGAACTGGCTGAAATAATAAAAAAAAAAGTAGACCTATAAAGGAAAATAAATGAAGGAAATAAAAATTTACAGGCACATTTGTAGTGGGGCGCTTTTGTCCTCTTTTTTTAATATTCGTCTTTTAAAGGATAATGATTCAACCCTCAATGGCATGATCTGATACAACATGCGTAAAAATATAATATGCACTGTTGCTGATTTTCCTAATCTTATTTTCAGTGTTTAGTGATAGCCTCAGATGTGAGATTTTTTCTTTTGCGATTACAAGCAGGTATTATGTTGTTTCTTACCATGGCAACTGCATCTCGTGTATGAAAAGTATACCATAGCAAGCCTATTCAACAATTAATATCTAAATAATAGCTTTGGTCAGTTAACCTGGCAAGCAGGAGATTACCAACATTAAACATATTCTTTAAAGCATTAAGGATGGAGATTGGGATGTTAAAGGCACAATATGTCATTTTTTGCCACTAGAGGGCGCATATTCAAAACAAACAAAGAAACAAAGGCGTAGTTACATGACGCTGTGACTGGGTGTGCAATCATGGGAGTTGTCGTCTTCATCCCCACAGCCAAAGCAATCCGATGGGACTCAGGCAGAAATCATGTTCATGGATGAGCTAATGTATTAAAGATTTATTAACATCGTAGTATAAAGCAGGGTGAGGCTGAAAGCTGTCGAAGCGAAACGAGGCTGCTGAACGAGCGCTACACACGGCTCGAAAGCAGCGGAGCTTTTATTATGACACAGTAGGGCTGCCACTAACGACTATTTTTATTTCGATTAATCTATCGACTAATTTATTGATTAATCTAAACGATTAATTTCCCACAAACAATCAACAATTTTACTTAATATTTTATTAAACTATATTTTATTAAACCAAATGAAATATACATTTCTATGAAATCCTTTTTTTAAAGCAAAAGTAAAGTGCAACATAAAGTGCAAGAAGCAAGTGTCCATCTCATAGTCCAAATCACTGAAATCAAAGTTCAGTATTATAGTGTAAGAATGACAACATATCCACGTGTTCTAGTCTACTAATAATACAATTATAATCAAAAAACACTTTTTAAAGGAGTATTTACCTGAAATGTTATTTACCAGAATTTATTTAGGAGAAAACTGTAAATGTGCAGTATTTCTGAAAATATTTTTTTAATATAAAATCAATTAATTGGAGATGCTTTTGATTATTACAATTTAATGTAACCATTAAAATGGAACCCAGAAAATAATGGAAAACAGAATTTGGTAAAGATAAAACTGTAAAACTCAATTAATTAGACAGGCTTTTTGATTTATACAATTTAATTTAACCATTAAAACAGAGTATAGAAAAATGAAAATAGACAAAAACTGAATTTGGAAATAAAACTGATTTCATAGGGCCCTATAATTATAATACATTTCTTTGTGGTAATAAAAATAGATGTAAGTGAACAATAGCCTTTAAAATGACTTAAAATACATATACAGTATAATAGCAATGAGGCAATAATAATTTGTTCAAATAAAGTATCAAAAGGAAGAAATCATATGGTTTTATTGAACAAAACTGTTAAAATACATAATGTACTATAAACAATAGAGCTAATGTACATCACGCATTACAACAAAGGCCTGCAGAAGGCACCAACGGCCTGATGATTATTTTTACACATT